CTCACTGAATAAGAATAGCAACTATTGTTATATACCTCGTTCTTCAAAGCCCACCGACACATGTAAATAAAGTGGCCGGGTATTCTGAAGTTGCTCCATGTATTTGAGAACATGAGAGAAACTTAAAAAAGACAAGCTGTTGAACAGCGTTATTTACATTTCTCAAGGGTTTTCAAATGATCACACTTTTAAGCACCACATAATACTTATCTTGTTATCGTATATACTTTTTGATGTAAATTTCACGCAGGTGAAACATGCATTTTTGTGTTTATGCCCTGATGAAGCATCCTATTTTAGCCAAGTAGTGTGGGTATCTTGTTAAAATTTAAAGGGATTCTTGGCTCTAAAGCAGTTAACATTTCAAAGGATACCTTATGGTTCTCTGTAACTGACCTTAGGATTTTAAGTTGGTATCTCTGTAAGTGATCCATATACAAAGTGTTTGGTTTTCAGGTTAAATTACAAGGGCATCACCATGTTTACTTTGTAGTAATCTATGATGTCATTGTGTGGTCAGAGAGATCTGTGGAGTCTTCAGAAAACGATTTCTAGTTGGAACTTAAGATATTTATTTGAAATATGAATTATAAATGATTAGCAGCACTTTTTTATCTCTGGATTCATGCAACATTTGATTATTGAGTTCAAAACGCTGTAGCAATGTAGCACAAACATGAAGTTGTGATTTGGAACAAAACTTTTTTAGCCAAGATTCCATTTAAGGGTTAAGTTATATAAAAGGACAATACTGACGCAAGGTTTTATTCTACAGCCTCCCAAGAAGGATACAAAGCAGACATCCTCCAAACCGAAAGACAAACCATCTAGTGGTGGTGGAAAAGCTAAGAAGAAGGTCTAGTTTCATTTTCTTTACTCTTACATGTAGTTTTAAGACAATTGTGTGTGAGTGGGTGTCCATTTAGAAGGTAAATGTTAAGCTTTAAGATCTGCATTAACATTTCATTAACATTTTCAGCAGGAGATCAACTGGTTTTTACAGGCAGGCTAAACATTTTTGAAATGAACTTTTTATAAGAAAAACGTTCCTCCAGATGGTTAAACCAGGCGGGCAAAATCATCTTCACAGTCATTCAATCTGCACAGTGCCTGGCCCTTAATGAAACCCCTGAGACTGCATCTTAAAACTCTAAGTACCACATTGAAACACGAATCATTTTACAATCATCAGAGCATCAAAAATATCTGAAATATTTTATATGACATAAAATACAGATGAATCCGGCAGTGAAGGGGCTTTTATAATTTTGAAGACTTTCTCCTGTAATATGGAAATAAGAGCTAAACCTCTGTGTAAGCTTCTACTTTGTCTATTTTTGCTAAGATTGGGGAGGGGTATTTTAGGGGGGGGGGGAGCTTAGCGTAATTTAACAGTTCATCACATGGCAAGACTTTCTCAAGTGATATATTTGGATATCTGTGTTTATTGATTCTTTAAGGCAAGACCAAATGTTGATCCCTTCTGAAAGTTAAAGGTTTTACATGGTTGTATTTGAAATTACTGATGATCCATTTTCCTCTTGAAACCAACAGAAGTGGTCCAAAGGAAAAGTGCGAGACAAGCTAAACAATCTGGTCCTCTTCGACAAGGCCACTTATGACAAGCTTTACAAAGAGGTTCCCAGCTACAGGCTGATCACTCCCTCTGTTGTGTCTGAAAGGCTGAAGATCCGGGGATCCCTAGCACGCCGTGGACTGCAGGAACTTCTCTCCAAGGGCCTGATTAAAGAGGTGTCCAAACACCACTCTCAGCTGATTTACACCAGAGCCACAAAGGGCAGTGAAGGCCAAGAACCTGCTGCTCAGTAATGTGAATAATGTGGAGTAAATAAATCAAGTTTCATATTGACACTTGCTTTGCTTTCTTTTGTCAATCATCTGCTTCATTAGTCTTTTAATGTTCTTCTTAAGACCATAATCACTGGTTATTTCCCTCATGGGTTGTGACCAAAATAGTAAAGCTTACTTTAAGCTTGACTTCTTTGTTCTCAGTAGCTGCTGTTAATGAAGGTTGGCCGCATTCTTGTCCTCAGAACAGTTTCTCTCTCTTAGTCAACAAGGCCTTGACACAAGGAAAGGTGACTCTAGAGACACACGTATTGATTAGCCAGCGATTTTTCCTCTATGAGACCTGCCTGTAGGGAATCATGGTAGTTGTATTTATCAAAACAAAATTAATATCCAGTCCAAGATGGTGAAAATAATTACCACAATTCTTTGGTGGTATATCTCATAGGAGGAGTTGGCTGTTCATTACTCTTTAGTGCTGGTTTCATTCCTGAAAATTCCCAAAGGTGCAAAGGTCTAATTTAAATTAACAGAATTTGAAATAAGTTAAATTATGGCTGTAAGTGGAATCCATGGTTTGTTATGGAGGACTTTACTGAAAAGTGTTTCTGTAATTCCTTATGAAATGCATCTAGTTACAAATCAGCTAGTGGATATTTAAGTGAAGGAAACCAAAAATCATGACCCAAGAATCTAGCTAATCAAATGATGTCTTTTACCAATGCTCGCTCATCTTAGAGAGACAGGCGACCCTGGCCACACCCTTCATTTAGAGGGCCTCTTAGCATAGAGACCCTTCGCTAGCCATGCACTCAGGGGTTTAGAGGAGCAGGGGAACATGGTCATTTTTTTGATCTTTGAAAGAAAATTGAGGAACTAAGGAATGAATTAATAGGGAACAAGGCAGAAAAAGTTAAATTTTCACGGAATCAAGAAAACCTGCTACACCCAAGAACAAACAAGAACGGCCAGTTTTCTTTTTGCCATCCAATATTTTATTTTTTACACGTGGGTTAGACCTGTCCATAAGGTCAACAAGACATAATACGTCTTAGACCTTAAAACTGCATAAAATGAAGAATAAAAAGCCAATGTCTAGCAACTTGACTGGTCAAGCTTGGTGATGAGGGGTATATAGTGTGGCTCAGAAAACACGATTTTGTAGTACGGAACAAACATTCCCGGCTGGCAGGAATGAAAATGCCAAATGAGGAAAGTCATTATTAACAAACAGATTAACTTACCTTATACATGTAAAAGGTTGAATAAAGGCTGTCTGAATCTCTGTGACTATGTGTCTAACTTAACATGTTACGACAACATCAAAAAAACAATTTTGTCGTACTTTTTACAGTAAAGTGAAGTAAGCTACGCCAACTTATACGCAATAGCGAGTCCAGTTATCCAATTTCTTCACGAGTCTTCACCCGAGCGCGTGCACATACACAACATCAAGAGACTAGCTCGACAGCGAAATAAATGCTCGTTTCCTCTTAAACGAGCATGATGACCTACATTTATTACATAGTTATGGTGTACAAATTATCCTCTTAAAGTAAAAAAAAAGTTTTAAAAAGAGCCAAAAAAATTGTTTGAAAGCGTGCAGATATAAACCGTTACTCGAGGCTGCAAATTACGACCCGTTGAAAACAACTACTCGAGGAAAGTTTTGAATCGATGTCGTTTGAAATTGTTCCAAAAAATTATATATCAGACATTGTTCCATAAACTCGAGACTTTTTACCTATCAAGTTTTTTCCAATTATTTATTTAGAAAAAACTCTGCTTCCAGCTACCGCAAAATGTAACGTGGACCTATGAAATAACGTGGCTAGTCCGCATAAATGAGGTAAGATTGGCCCATCATATCTCTTAAGCGAGCACGGCGACCTATCTATTTATTGTATTTTTCGACAGAGTGCTTAAGATAAGATCAGTTTTGTGCGTCCAAATTGCTTCAATTGCTAAAGATATTTACATTCGCGAAGTGTTTTCTTCTTATGCTTCGTACAAGGTCAAGAACTGTAACAAAAAACTATATTTCTCAGTACTTTTTCTCTCTCGTCTGTTGATGTGTTTTGGGTATGTTTTGGATTAAGGTGTTTTGCGACTTTTTTGAATCTACAGGCATCTTTAACAGGTGGATCGCTGATAGTCTAATGTCTGTTTAAAAAATCATTTTTGTATGATGTCGACAATATGCCATACGCTGTAGTCAAAATATGTAGCAATGCCATTCCGGGCAACTGAAAATTGGGAAGAATTATTTGCGCTAATGGGACGTTAAGTTTTTCCGCTGGGAAGTGACTTTCGGTTGAGCAAACGCTCGAACTGTACTGAGCAGGGAAGTCTCTAAGCTCCTTTTACAGTGCACCGGGGGAATTTGAAAACGGAGGTTTCACTCTGAAAAAGCATCGAATGTTTTCCGTCCACACTACGCCGGAGGAATTTGAAAACGCATCAATAACCGGTCATTTTGGATTTGGGGTTGTGGAAAACTCGGACAGGAAAATCTCACCATTATCGTCATGTCATGGTTTTCGAAAAGCTCCGTCCTCAAGATGTTTTCCGTTCACATTGAAGCACGAAGCCAGCGTTTTCAAACTCTTCCTTTTTGACGAGCGTTTTCGAAAAGCTCCGTTTTCGTAATGGTTAGTATGGACGGTAGGTTAGGTTAAGTCTGCATACGAGCCAAGTGGCCCACCAGGCCGGAGCTTATCCCGGTTTCTGTAGCATGAAGCGACTAGGAGTATTTCTACTCCCCC